ACGTGTGCACAGGTAACGCGTGCACAGGTAACGCCCGACGCGCAGGTGAACGCCAGGTGCACAGGTAACGTGTGCACAGGTAACGCGTGCACAGGGCTGGTCTCGTTGATGGCGGCTATTTGTTCTGGTTATAAAAGGATCACTCGCTTACCATCAAAAGAAAAGTACGGAAATTACAATAATAGCAAACATACATCACTCATCATCCTACCTTCCGGGGAGCATCACTGATGGCAGAACTGTCTCAGTTAAAAAAAAAGGTCAAATCCATGTTCGTAAGTGTTTCGTAAACATCAAAAAATCATTATTTAAAGGTCAAAGGACAAACCAGGAAAAAAGTATTTGCCACCAATTACGACAAAAAGTTAATATCCTTGTTATATAAAATGCTCAGGTAAATGGATAAGAAAATCATTAAATCTTTAATGGAAAAGCAGATAACGTGCACCAATAATTTACAGAGAAAGAAACACAAAGAAATGGAAGAATATGCTTAACTCACTTGGTGATCGTCACCAGTTTGTTGAACAAACAAATCACAGCACGGTGTCATTTTAAACCCAGCTCTGTAGCCATTCTTCCTCCGGCCGTGGGTGAAAGTTCAGGCTGCTTTCACCGCAGCTCCTGGCTGATGAACGAGTCGCCAGCCCCTTTGGTCATTCCAGCTTGAAGAGCCCTGTCCCAGTCAATCACGTCCTCACAAACCGGGGTTTAGCCTGAGCCGTCTTTACCGGGCCTGCTACCCAGCTGGAAATCACAGTCTACAGCAGTCATTAGAAAAATAAAATCGGTTCATTTTTATCCTTAGCCAGCTCCTCCAGCGAACTGGCTGTACTGCGTATATATAACCAATACTTTGAACTCTTATCCGATACAGTACAACCTGCCAAAGCCGGAACCTGTGTAAGGAGGAAACCTGTCAGAGAAGGAAAACGCAAATATTTTCCACTAAAACGAGGGATAGAAAAGTGGAAAGACTGCACCCTGTCAGAGGCGGAAAACTTGGGAGACCCAGAAGAACAAGGCGGCCCCATGAAGCCATGGCCCTCACGGCTCTCACTGTGTAAAGCCTCTCTTCTTGCTCTCCTCTCAGCAATGTTTGCTGTCTGAGCTTCCTGGGGCGGCCACAAGAAATGACGGCAAACTTGGTGGCTTAAAATGACAGAAATGTATTTTCTCCCAGTTCTGGAGGCCAGAGGTTGGAAATCCAGATGTTGGCAGGACCACGCTCCCCGGGAAGGCTCCAGGGGAGGATCCTTCCTGGTCTCTTCCAGCTCCTGTGGCCCCAGGCATCCCTTGGCTTGTGGCTGCATCACTCCAGTCTCTGCCTCCGCAGTCACGAGGCGTCTGCTCTGTGTGTCTGTGTCTCTTCTCTCCTAGTAAGGACCCCAGGCACTGGATTTAAGTCCTGTCCTAAACCCAGGAAGTTTTCATCTTGAGATCCTTGACTAATTACATCTGCAAAGACCCCATTTCCAAATAAGGTCACATTCAGAGGTTCCAGGTGGACATGCTTCTTTCCTCTTATTCATTCCTCCCATCTTGCGGCTGGCTGTGTCTGACCCTCCAGGGTTGGGCTGAGGGCAGCAGGGACAAGGGGAGAAAGAGCCTCCCACTGAGGGCCACCCAGCGGCACTGCCCTCCCCATCTCTGGTCTTCTGGCACCCCAACGTTTGACGCTCTAGGTGCTCCTCTTCCCAGCTTCAATGGGGGCCTAGTTTTCCCTTCTAGCCTCGTCCCCAACCCCCAAGGTGTCAGCATGGCCTACATTCTCCCCAGGGACGCTCTGGTGTCTAAGGCTGTTTGACGGTGGCCGACTTGAGGGTCCACTATGGTCCCTGGTTGTTGCTACTTAAGCTTGTTTCTCCCTTTCCCACTTCAAGGACGCTGGTCTCTCCAGGCCTTCCTCTGGCGTCCAGGTCACCTCTCCACCTCCTTCTCCTTCCCCCAAGCCAGTCTGAGCTAGGCTTTGGGGGTGGAGGAAAATGGTTTTGTCTCCACTTAAGCTGGCTGATTATCTGAGTGTGGTTTCTGCTTTGGTGTGGGCTGGGCAGGGAGGAAATGGAATTTGGGATCCCAGAGGGAAAGGGAGATACAGAGAAACACACATTGTTCTTTGGGATCTCTGCTGCCTCTGCCGTGCCCGCGAGACATCAGGGAATTACTGGGTCTAGTTTTGGAGAGTTCTGACAGAGTTCTGGCTCCAGCCTTTCTGGGGAGGAAAAAATACTCAGGATAAGAAGACATTCCTTTGTGAGGCCACCTATGGAAGGAAATCTGGCAAGGTCGTGGTGGGGGGGTGGGCTAGGATTCCCAGGAATCCACAGGTGAGCAGTACAGGTAAACCTGTGGCCTGAGGCGTAAGGCCCAAAATGGAGCGTTGGGAGCAACAAATGCTGCTGCCCCTAGAGGGGAGACAAGACCTTCAAGTATTCAGGCCAACCCAACCCGTTGCCTTAGAGTCAGCTCCGACTCATAGCAACCCTATAGGACAGAGTAGGACCGCCCCATAGGGTTTCCAAAGCTGTAATCTTTACAGAAGGAGCCCTGGTTGCTCAGTGGTTAAGAGCTCGGCTGCTAACAAAAGGTCAGCAGTTTTGAATCCACCAGCTGCTCCTTGGAATTCTCCAGGTCCAAGAAGAGACTGTCCTCGGCAGGAGACTCCGTTCTGCCCCAGGTACAAGAGAGGCCAAACTGGTTTGGCAGCCTTTGTCAGGAGGAATGTAAGACGGAGGCTGGAAGGAGCAGAGGAAGAGATCTCTCAGGAGAAGGGAACATCTTCCACCACCAACCATCGCTTCCCACCCCTCTCCTCCACTCGGCACTCCTAGCCACCCACCCACTCCTACAAATCTGGAGGAGCACACTCAGTCCCCTCTACCTTAGGAAGATTTTTTTTCCTTCCTCAAATTTGTCCGAAAATCCTTCCTATTCATATTTACCTGAAAGTAGAACATGGGCCTTGGTGATGTTTGAACAAGACTAAACCTTTGAACCCACGGAACGGACACACATAGACATTTCAGAGCACGGGGACACAGAGGCTTTCTCACGTTTCCCTCACCTGACCCAGCGTGTTAGTCTGTGATTCCAGCGATTCCAGCAAGACAGTGTTCACAGTCCACAGCGGGGCACCTCCGTGTCCTGCTGGTGACCGCACCCCCACCGGCCCCGGCTCAGCACCCCGCATAAGTGCTACTTGGGCACCCAGGGAGAGCACTAGTTCCAGTTCTTTGTGTTCATTTTATGTATTTCAAGAGCGCTGTAGAACTACTGAATCGAGGTGGCTGGCGTCCCGTGACCACTGACTAGTCCTTCTGTCAGTTTGCAAAGAAAAATTTGGGGAAAAAAACCCTATAAATGTTATCCACTTCGTATCATGTATCTGCTGTGGGTGCATTGTTTAAAATCTTGGTTTGCAGTATCTATTTTTAAACTGTTTTAATAATTATGAAAATATAGGTTAAAATCAACCTTGTGAAATACTGCTGTATCCGTGAGTCGGGTCAACTCAGCAGAGCTAACAACCACAACAACGTGAAGATTCCAGAGATTTAACATCCAAACAAAATTCAAGAAACTCTTCAGGCAAGTGGGCACATTCTGGAACTTCTCCATTTCCTCTTCGTTCAACTTCACCCAAAAGTTAGGCTCACAGGAGGGTTTGAAAGGACAGACATCAGCAGGTGCTCCTGCTCTTTCTTGCAGGCAAGTTCGCTGGCTTCTCTGACTTTATTTTGCACTGAAATGTTAATGTGACGCCTTCAAATGACAAAACCACATATTTTTTACACGAAGGGTGAAATAAGGGATTTTCACTGGCAACTTTAACTGCGCAGCAACTTTTGAGACGACTTTAGTATGTAACCTCTGTGTAGAACGTGACTTCACAGTAATATGTTTTTTCTCTTTATTAGGCCGACTAGAAGATCAATATATAATTAGATTCGTGAAAGAAAAGCTAAAATCTATGCCTTGTAGGAATCAAGGTTATGTTTTGGATGGATTCCCAAAGACCTATGATCAAGCAAAAGACTTGTTCAATCGTAAGTTTTTTTTTTTTTTTTGTTTTTACAGGTGTGCAACTTATTAACAATGATCACAGTAATCGGCGGTGCAGCCCTATGCTTAATCAGTGTGATATTCCATCGCTGTTAACACCCCTTCTCCCCGCCTGCCCCTGGTAACCACTAATGAACTTTGGTCTTTATAGGTTTGCCTATTCTTGTCTTTTTATGTAAGTGAGGTCATACAGTATTTGTTCTTCTGTGATCGGCTTATTTCACTCAGCATGAGGTCTTCCAGCTCCATCCATACTGTAGCGTGTATCAAGACTTCATTTCCCCTGCTGGCTGAGTAGTGTTCCTTTGTATGTATGGACCACACTGTGTTTATCCATTCGTCTGCTGATGGGCATTTAGGTTGTTTCCACCTTTCGGCAATTGTGAGTATGCTGCGATGACCATTCGCGTACAAGTCTCTGAGTTTCTACTTTCAAGTCTTTTGGGTACATACCTAGGAGTGGAATTGCTGGGTCATATGGTCGTTCTATTTTTGGTTTTTTTTAGGAACCGCCACACTGTTTCCCACAATGGCTGTACCATTTTACACTCCCATCAGCAACGGATGAGGGTTCTAATTTCACCACGCCCTCGCCAACATTTGTTATTTTATTTTATTTTTTTTAAAATCTTAGTCATCCCTGTTGTTGTTGTTAGATGCTGTTGAGCCGGTTCTGACTCATAGCACTACTGGGAGTGAAATGATATCTTGTGGTTTCGATTTGCATCTCTCTGAAGGCTAATGGCCCTGAGCTTCTTTTTATGTCTTTGGTGGCCATTTGAATGTCCTCTTTGGTGAAATGTCTATTCAAGTCCTTTGCCCATTTTATGATTGGGTTATTTGTCTTTTTGTTGTTAAGCTGTCCAAGTTTTATATATATTTGGGTTATATGGTTTCTTGTTAGTTATATGGTTTCCAAAGATATTGTCCCAGTCTGTAGCTTGTCTTTTCACTTTTTGGTAAAATCTTTTAATGAACAAAAGTTTTAATTTTTATGAGGTTCCATGTATTTATTTTGTCTTTTGCTGTTTGTGCTTTTGTTATTATATTAGATAATCTATTGTTGAAAACTAGGCCTGACATTGCTGCCCCTGCATTTTCTTCTAAGAATTGTATGGTTTTAGTTTGCACATTTAGGTGCTTAATCCATTCTGGATTTGTTCTTGTGTATGGTGTGAGGCATGGATCCTGTTTCATTTTTCTGCATGTAGAAATCTATCTTTCCCAGCACCATTTATTGAAGAGATTCTTCTTCCTCATCAAATTGATTTAGCACCCTTGTCAAAAATTAGTTGACCATGGATATGTGGGTTTATTTCTAGACTCTCAATTCTATTCCATTGGTCTATGTGTCTATTGTTATACCAGTACTAGGCTGTTTTGATTACTTCCGCTGTATAGTATGTTTTAAAATAAGGAAGTGTGAGTCCTCCTACTTTGGTGTCTTTCAACATTGTTTTAGCTATTTGGGGCCTTTTACCATTCCATATAAAGTTGAGGATTAGCTTTTCTATTTCTGTACAGAAGGCTGTTGGAATTTTGATCGAGATTTCATTGACTCTGTAGGTCACTTTGGGTAGTATTGACATCTTAACAGTATTAAGTCTTCCAATCCATGAACATGGAATATCTTTCCATTTAAGTCTAATTTCTTTCAGCAGAGTTTTATAGTTTTCATCATTTAAGTCCTTCATGTCCCTGGTTAGATTTATTCCTAGGTATTTGATTCTCATAGATGCTATTGTAAATGGAATTGTTTCCCTAATTTCCCTTTCAGATTTCACATTGCTGGTATATAGAAACCCAAATGATTTTTGTTTGTTGACCTTGTACCCTGAAGCTTTTCTAAATTCCTCTATTAGCTCTAGTTTTCTTGTGGACTCTGGGATTTTCTATAGCTAGGATCATATCATCCATAAATAGAGATCATTTTACTTCTTTTCCAATCTGGATACCTTTTATTTCTTTTTCTTGTCTTATTGCTCTGGCTAGGACTTCTAATACAATATTGAATAGAAGGAGTGAGAGTGGGCACTCTTGTCTTATTCCTGATTTCAAGGAGAAAGCCTTCAGTCTTTCTTCATTAAGTATAGTGTTGACTGTTGACTTTTCATACATGCCTGAATCATATTGAGGAATTTCCCTTCTATTCCAATCTTCTTTAAGGTTTTCATCAAGAAAGTGTGTTGGATTTTACCAAATGCGTTTTCTGCATCCGTAGAGATGATCATGTGGTTCTTTTCCTTTGTTCTATTGATGTGGTATATTACATTAATTGATTTTCTAATGTTGAACCATCCCTGCATTCCTGGAATAAATCCCACTTGGTCATGGTGTATGACTCTTTTAATATGCTGTTGGATTCTGTTCGTTAGTATTTTGTTGAGAATTTTTGCATCTATATTCGTAAGAGATATTGGCCTGTAGTTTTCTTTTCTTGTGATGTCTTTGTCTGGTTTGGGAATCAGGGTTATGTTTGCTTCATAGAATGAATTAGGGAGTATTCCTTCTTTCTCTATCTTTTGGAAGAGTTTAAACAGTATTGATGTCAATTCGTCTCTAAATGTTTAGTAGAATTCCCCAGTGAAACCATCTGGTCCAGGACTTTTTGTTGTTGTTGTTGGGAGGTTTTTGATCACTGATTATATCTCTTCACTTGTTATGGGGATGTTGAGACTTTCTATTTCCTCTTGAGTCAGTTTGGGTAGGTTGTGTGCTTCTAAGAATTTGTCCATTTTATCTAGGTTATCCAGTTTGTTTCTGTACAGTTGTTCATAACACTCTGTCATAATTCTCTTCATTTCAATTGAGTCCGTTGTAATGTCCCCTCTTTCATTTTTTATTTTGGCTATTTGCATCTTTTCTTTCCTTTGTCAGTCTAGCTAAAGGCTTGTCAATTTTATTGATCTTTTCAAAGAACCAACCTTTGGTTTTACTGATTTTTTCTATAGTTTTTCTGTTTTTGATTTTATTTATTTCTGCTCTGATCTTTGTTATTTCCTTTCTTCTGGTAGATTTATGCTTAGTTTGCTCTACTCCTTTCTAGTTCCTAAAGTTGTCAAGTTATGCTGTTGATTTGAGATCTTTCTTCTTTTTCCATGTAGGCATTTATTGCTATAAGTTTCCCTCTAAGTATTGCCTTTGCTAGATCCCATAAGTTTTGATATGTTGTGCTTTCATTTTCATTTAACTCTAAGGAATTTGTTATTTCTCTTTTGATTTCTTCCTTGACCCATTGGTAGTTGAATAGTATATTGTTTAATTTCCATATGTTTGTGTATTTTCCAGGGTTTTTTTCTGTTACTGATTTCTAGCTTCACTCCGTTTTGGTCAGAGAAAATACTTTGTGTAATTTCAATCTTTTTAAATTTATCAAGACTTGCTCTGTGACCTAAAGTGTGGTCTAGCCTGAAGAATGATCCGTGTGCACTGGAGTAGAATGTATATTGTGCTATTTTGTAGGGGGAGTGTCGTACATGTCTGTCAAGTCTAGTTGGTTTACAGTGTCATCCAAGTCCTCTGTTTCCTTGTTGATCTTCTTTCTAGATGTTCTGTCCAATATTGAAAGTGGTGTATCGAAGTCTCCAACAATTACTGTAGTGCTATCTATTTCTCCCTTCAGTTCTACAGTGTTGGCTTTATATATTTAGGTGCCATGATGTTGGGTGCATATATATTTATGATTGTTAAATCTTCTTGATTAATTGACCATTTATCACTATATAATGTTCATCTTTATCTCTTCTGACAGATTTTTTCTTAAAGTCTACTTTGTCTGATATTAAGATTGCCACCCCAGATCTTTTTAGGTTATTATTTGCATGGAATTTTTTTTTTCCATGCTTCCACTTTCAACCTATTTGTGTCCTTGAGTTTAAGATGTGTCTCTTGTAAACAGCATATGTTGGATCATGTTTTTTTAATCTGTTCTTCCACTCTCTGCCGTTTGATTGGAGCATTTAGTCCATTAGCATCTCAGTCATAAGTTTGTGTATTCCCTTTATTTTGAGTGTCTATATCCAGATAAAGGAGCCCTGGTGGCCAGTGGTTAAGTGCTTGGCTGCTATGAAATGTTGCCACTTCATGGGAGAAAGATGTGGCAGTCTGCTTCCGTAAAGATTACGGCCTCAGAAACCCTATGGGGCAGTTCTACTCTGTCCTATAGGGTCAATGTGATTCGGAATCAACTCAACAGCAACAGGTTTGGTTTTGGTTTTATATCCAGGTAGGGTGAAACTTTGTTCTTCAAGGAAATAGTTGCTCAATTAAAACAAACAAAAAACTATTTCTCAAATACATGCTTTCTTATTTATGGCCATGACCTACTTTCATTAGCAACTGATTGTTAAGATACTTGAATTTTTTGGTAAGATATGCATAGTACACAAAACCCATTGCGGTCAAGTCAATTCTGACTCTGTAGGACAGAGTAGAACTCCCCACAGGGTTTCCCAGGCTGTAATCTTTACAGAAGCAGATCACCACATCTTTCTCCCGCAGAGCGGCTGGTGAGTTCGAACTGCCAACCTTTCAGTTAGCAGCCGAGCACTTAACCACTGTGCTACCATGGCTGTGATATGCATAGTAATAATATGTTAATAAACATGGCAATGTGTATTTTGCTTTTCTTTTATTAGAAGAAGATGAGGAGGAGGAGGAAGAAATCAGAGGCAAAATGTTTCCCTTTGATAAATTAATCATACCTGGTAAGTTTGGAATATTTGTCCAAGATCATATTTAAAGGAATGCTATTCAGTATCTTTTTGGTGCTAAAACAGTCTTTTTGAGTTTAATAAACTGCATCATCCTATTTTTAGGGAAATAACTGTAGTGGATACACTAAACACAAACTAGCAAAGTAGAGAGTGTGCGGGAGGTAAGTCTCAGGGATTTGGAAGTTCTTGAAGGTATGAAAATCCCTTTGAGACCACCATTTCTGCTGTTCTCGCGTGTCATAAAGCAAAGCATCCATGAATGCTGTGACTTCTGAGCCGGCTGGCGAGCCCACCAGGACTGGCTTACCATAGCTCCTTCGGTTCCGAGTGCTAGCCATGCTGTCATCTTTCCAAGAGGCATTCGGCAGCCTGAGGAGACCGAGCAGGTAAAGAGCTTTTCAGTGAGTCCACTACGCAGAGGTTCCACAATGCGCTTCTGAGAGCAAAACATAAACGACTTGTTCCACACAGCAAGATTTGCCAAGTGACGCAACAGGTATTTCTTGTGACCTTGCCCTGAACTGTAACAAGAAGTTGTTTTTGTTTTTATCAGTTTGCATGAGGTTGAATCATAGGGTATAATTTTGTGTCATATGGCAAATACAGGAGCAGCTGTTTTCAGCAACTTAGCACAAGGTTGTAACTTGGAAGTGCCTGCTCACTGGTGTCAAAGTCCCCAAGGGAGTCAGCAGTTTGTGGCTGTAATCACCTTCTCCTCTTGGTCCAGGCACAGCCTGCAGAGAAACTTCTGGAAGCACTGAGACCACCAGATAGTAGTCCTCCTCAAGGATGGGTATTTATTCCCCACCTGAGGACTCTGGGATCGTGGCAGAGATACAAAATGCCAAAGAGATGCGTTCCTTCTGATTTCCTGTTAGTTTAGAGATTCATCTTCAGAAATGAGTAAAAAAAATAAAAATAAAGCTGATGATTCTAGATAACCAGGTACAGTCCAGTTTATGAGAGCTGAACATTTGGGCAACGTCCGTTGCAAACCCCACAGTAGATCCTAATGCTGTCACCGAGGCAGCTGGATAAAATTCAGCTCAAGGAACAATGTGTCAGGGACCAGGCACCACACTGGGAGATGAAACAGGCGTGAGCGCGTGGAACCCTTCCACAGCCCTGCAAGGCAAGAACGTCCGTGTCTACCGGATCCAGAGGCCGAAGCCCAGAAACTTACACAAGTCCACTCCACTGGCAGATGGCAGGGCTTCAGTCCAAACTCTTCCCACTCGCCTGCCTCCGATACAGAATCGATGAAACCCATCCGTAAGACAAAGAAATGGGAACACAGAGGTGAAATGATGCATGCTTCTTACCCACCCTCCTCGGGGCCGCCCGGTCTTTCTCGGACAGGGTCCAAACCTGTCTACAATGTATATGGAATGTTTCGTCTGTTTTTAGGAGATGACTCTTTTCCCAGAAATTGTGTTTACTTTCTCTCCTCTTGAGAGAAATTAGCACATCCATGCTTGATTTAAGTGATGAAACACCCCAAGGATGGCAATCCAGTCCTCGCTGGTGGGGTTCCTCACTGATAAACCGTCGGATTTTACTGCTTCTGTTAGCTTATCTCCAGTTCGGTTCTTCTCAGGTCTCTTAGTTGACGGAGACAAGTTGGAAGTTGTACCTACATGACAAATATGTAAAAATTCATTAAAACATAGATTTTCATATGACTCCTGATAGGCAAAGACAGTGACTTCTTTGCTGGGTGCCATCTGCCCAAGCAGAAATCTATTACTCACTGTCTGCGGTTAGCCAGTACACAGTAGTAGACGTTCAGAATAATTATCCGGAGATACCGCAGGATCTTGCCGTTCTCTCTGAATCATAAAAGAGAAGGGACTTTTTTTCCCTATGTACATCATTCTGGTGGGAAGTATATTTCATCATATTAAAATTCTTTAAAAATTAGAAAACCATGTATGTTACTCACTATCCACAATATGGGATGAACCGGAATCTTCCATCTCCCAATCACTCTGGAAAAAATATATAGTATATTTTGAAACTCCTAGATTATTAGCAGGAGTGTTAAGTTTTCATCTAGACACCTGACATCATGGAGCATAAGTCAACGCAATGAACTTATGGACGTATTTTAGATTTAACTATTATACCAGTATTTTGGAACCCAGATGTCTGCCTTGCTTTTCAAAATGTCACTACTCGTGAAAATGTAATGGTCCAAGATGAACAAAACTAAAATCTATCAGAACAGTGGTATTGTCAGATGACGATGATGAATTTATTCATGAATTTATTCCACAAGGTCGCCATGAGTCGGAGCTGACCTGACTTAAACTGGTTGTTGTTGTTAGAAGCTGTTGAGTCGGTTCCGACTCATAGCGGCCCAATGTACAACAGAACAAAACGCTGCCCGGTCCTGTGCCATCCAGACAATCATTGTCATGCTTGAGCCCATTGCTGCAGCCACTGGGTCAATCCATCTCATTGAGGATCTCCCTCTTTTTTTATGACCCTCTACTTTACCAAGCATGATGTCCTTCTCCAGAGACTGATCCCTCCTGATAACGTGTCCAAAGTATGTGAGACATAGTATTGCTATCCTTGCTTCTAAGGAGCATTCTGGCTGTACTTCTTCCAAGACAGTTTTGTGCCATCTTTGGGCAGTCCACGGTGTATTCAGTATTCTTTGCCAACACCATAATTCAAAGGCGTCAATTCTCCTTCAGTCTTCCTAATTCATTGTCCAGCTTTCACATGCATATGAGGCAATTGAAAATACCATAGCTTTAATCTGGCGCACCTTAGTCTTCAAGGAGACATCTTCGCTTTTTTACACTTTAATGAAGTCTTTTGCGGCAGATTTGCCCAATGCAATGTGTCTTTTGATTTTTTGACTGCTGCTTCCGTGGGCGTTGATTGTGGATCCAGGTAAAATGAAATCCTTGACAACTTCAATCTTTTCTCCGTTTATCATGATGTTGCTTGTTGGTCCAGTTGTGAGGAGTTTTGTTTTCTTTATGTTGAAGTGTAAGCCAATCCATACTGAAGGCTGCAGTCTTTGATCTTCATCAGTAACTGCTTCCAAGTCCTCTTCACTTTCAGCAAGCAAGGTTGTGTCATCTGTATAACGCAGGTTGTTAATGAGTCTTCCTCCACTCCTGATGCCCCTTTCTTCTTCATATAGTCCAGCTTCTTGGATTATTTGCTCAGCATACAGATTGATAAGTATAGTGAAAAGATACAGCCCTGACGCACACTTTCCTGGCTTTAAACCATGCAGTATCCCCTTGTTCTGTTTGAACAACTGCCTCTTGATCTATGTACAAGTTCCTTGAAAGCACAATTAAGTGTTTTGGAATTTCCCACTCTTCACAATGTTATCCATAATTTGTTATGATCCACACAATTGAATGCCTTTGCATAGTCAATAAACCACAGGTAAACATTTTTCTGGTATTCTCTGCTTTCAGCCAAGATCCATCTGACATCAGCAATGATAACCCTCATTCCACACCCTCTTCTTAATCTGCCTTGAATTTCTAGCAGTTCCCTGTCGATGTACTGCTGCAGCCACTTTTGAATGATCTTCAGCAAAATTTTACTTCCATGTGATATTAATGATATTGTTTGATAATTTCCAAATTCGGTTGGATCACTTTTCTTTGGAATAGGCATAAATATGAATCTCTTCCACTCAGTTGGCCAGGTAGCTGTCTTCCAAATTTCTTGGCATAGACGAGTGAGCACCTCCAGCGCTGCATCCGTTTGTTGAAACATCTCAGGCGATATTCGTCCATTCCTGGAGCCTTGTTTTTTGCCAATGCCCTCAGTGCAACTTGGACTTCTTCCTTCACTACCATTGGTTCCTGATCATATGCTGCCTCCTGAAATGGTTGAACATTGACTAATTCTTTTTGGTATAGTGACTCTGTGTATTCCTTCCATCTTCTTTTTTTTTAATTTTTTTTTATTGTACTTCAAGTGAAGGCTTACAGAACAAATAGTTTCTCACGAAACAGTAGTACACATATTGTTTTATGACATTGGTTAACAACCCCACGACATGTCAACCCTCTCCATTCTTGACCTTTTTTTTTTTTTGGTGAAAATATGCATAGCCAAAGAGACACCATTTCAAAAATTTCTACATGCACAGTTCGGTGACATCGACTACACTCTTCCAATTGTGCTGCTATTCTCACTTAAGATGAGGGCTTACAGAACAAAATAGTTTCTCATTTAACAGTTACTACACATGTTGCCCTATGACACTGGTTAACAACCTCACAACACATCAACACTATCCTTACTCAACCTTGGGTTCCCTATCACCAGCTTCCTTGTCCCCTTCTGCCTTCTGGCCCTTGTCACTGGACTACTGTACCTCGTTAGTCCCATTTGGTTTTATGGGGCTGTCCATTCCCAGGCTGAACGGTGAACCTCAGAGATGACTTCACCACTGAGCTAAAAGGGTGTCTGAGGGCCATACTCTCGGGGTTTCTCCAGTCTCCTTTAGGCCAGTAAATCTGGTCTTTTTTTTGTGAGTTAGAATTATGTTCTACATCCTTCTCCAGCTCTGTCCAGAACCCTCTGTTGTGATCCTGGTCAGAGCAGTCAGTGGTGGTAGCTGGGCACCATCTAGCTGTACTGAACTCAGTCCGGTGGGGGCCTTGGAAGCTGTGGTCCATTAGTCCCGCGGACTAATCTTTTCCTTGTATCCTGTTCTCTTCATTCTCCCTTGCTCCCGAAGGGATGAGACCAGTGGAGTATCTTAGATGGCCGCTCACAAGCTTTTAAGAACCCAGACGCTACTCACCAAGGTAGAATGTAGAACATTGTCTTTATAAACTGCGTTATGCCAATTGAGCTAGATGTTCCCTGAGACCATGGTCCCCACAGCCCTCCACCCAGCAATTCAGTCCCTCAGGGAGTTTGGATGTGTCTATGGGGCTTGCATGACCTTTCCTTGTACAAGTTGTGCTAGTTTCCCCTGTATTGTGTACTGTCTCACCCTTCACCCAAGATACCACTTATCTATTGCCTACTTAGTATTTCCCCCCACCCCTCCCATCCCTGGTAACCAACGAAGATTGTTACATTTTGTGTGTGAACTTTTTCATGGGTTTTTACAATAGAGGTCTCATACAATGTTTGTCCTTTTGTGATTGACTTACTTCACTCAGCATAATGTCCTCCAGTTTCATCCACGTTATGAGATGCTTCACAGATTCATCGTTGTTCTTTCTCATTGCATAGTACTCCATCCTTCCATCTTCTTTTGATGCTTCCAGCATTGTTTAATATTTTGCCCGTAGAATCCTTCACTAGTGCAACTCGAGGTTTGAATTTTTTCTTCAGTTCTTTTAGCTTGAGAAATGCCAAGTGTGTTCTTCCTTTTTGGTTTTCTGTCTCCAGGTCTTTGCACATGTCATTATAATACTTTACTTTATCTTCTCAACTCGCCCTTTGAAATCTTCTGTTCAGCTCTTTTACTTCATCATTTCTTCCATTAGCTTTAGCTACTCGACGTTCAAGAGCAAGTTTCAGAGTCTCTTCCAACATCCATTTTGGTCTTTTCTTTCTTGTCTTTTTAATGACCTCTTGCTTTCTTCATGTATGATGACTTCAACTAACAACAACAAGTTCCGCAAGTTGAGCCCTCAGCCTTTGTTTTCACGATTAATACACAAAGCAGACAATGCTCACCTGTGTTCCCCACAGCCCATGGGCACGTCCTGGCCTGTGTTGTCTCTGGTACACTTTCTTCCCACCCCACTCAAGAAAGACCATTGGAATGTGGTGAACCAATTTTAGAATGAAAATGAAATCATTTCCGAGCTTTGACAGGTTCTTACTGGTAGCAAATGCGTTGTGATCCCACTGACCTTGGCACCAGCGTCCTGATTTCTGTAGTAGAGAACAGAGTACTGTGGTCTGAAAATACTCCCACTGGGGAGCTTATTCCACTGATCAGCACTTCAGTTATTCATTCACTCAACAAATGTCCATGAAACTTTGTACTAGAAGCTCAAGAAATAGCTGCTTTCAGAGTTCAAATTAAACCCCAGGTGGGTACAATGACGACCATCATTCAACGACCCCTGTGTCACAGATTTGTTGAGGGCTGAGCATGTTGTACTGAACACAGATGTTTCATAGGCATTAAGTGAGGAAAGAGCTGACCCATGGAAAATTAAAAACCCGGGGAACGTGTCTGTTTTTACTAATTTGACAGTCCAGCCATCAAGCATTTCGCGAATAGCACAGGTCTCTCTGGGAACCTGTGATATTGTACCGGAAGAGACAAGCTGAGGATTGAGGGCTAATCTGATGATGTCACAGGGTCATTGTTGTTGTTATTTGGTGCTGTTAAGTCGGTTCCAAGTCATAGCGACCCCATGTACTGCAGACATCAACATTTCTTCAATTCAGGTGAGTAAACTTCTTGCGAATTTGGAAATCGGAGCCTGTGTATCCTAAAGTTTTGGTAAGATAGTTAGAAGTAGACTGAGGCTTTCTAAACAGTGTTTTTGTGTCACTGAGAAACCTGAAGATTTGTTGTTGTCGTTAGGTGCCATTGAGCCGGTTCTGACTCAAAGTGACCCTACGTACAACAGAATGAAACACTGCCTGGTCCTGCGCCACCCTCACGGTCTTTGTTATGCTTGAGCCCATTGTTGCAGCCACTGTGTCAATCCATCTTGTTGAGGGTCTTCCTCTCTTTCACTGACCTTCTACTTTACCAAGCATGATGTCCTTCTCCAGGGACTGGTCCCTCCTAATAACATGTCCAAAGTATGTGAGACAAAGTCATGTACAGGGTTATTAGAGATTTGCTATTTACAATTTCTGCTGCTTTTATTAAAAGGAAGGAAGGAAGGAAGGGCAGGAGGGAGGGAGAAGGGGAGGGAAGAAAGAAAAAAGAATAGATCATACAAAATGCACACAATTCAAAATTGGCTGGGCGTCATAGGGTGGTCTCTGGAAATGCTGGTGATCTGCAGGTATTTATCCTCCATGAGGAGCCCTGGTGGCACAGTGGTTAAGCGCTCGGCTGCTAATGAAAGGTCGGTGTTTTGAACCCACCAGCTGCTCCACAGGAGGAAGAAGCACAGTAAACATTAGAGTCTTGGAAACCCTTTGGGGGCAGTTCTACTCGGTCCTATAGGGTCGCTGTGAGTCGGAATTGACCCAGTAGCGACGGGTTTTGGTCTGGTTATCCTCCAAGAGAGGATAGTGGTTCAACTGTAGAATTCTCATCTTCCATGCGGGAGACCCAGGTTCCATTCCCGGCCACTGCCCTTCGTATGCAGCCACCACCCATCTGTCAGTGGAGGCTTGCATGTTGCCATGATGCTGAACAGGTTTCAGTGGAGCCTCCAGACTAAGTCAGACTAGGAAGAAAGGCCTGGCAATTTACTTCCAAAAACGTAGCCATCGAAAACCCTGTGGAACATGGTTCTACACCAAGATTCCAAGGAGTCAACTCTAAGGCAATTGGTTGGGGGCAGTGTGGTTCAGGGGTAAAATTCTCACCTTCCATGGGGGAGGGCCACGTTCTATTCCTGGCCAGTGCACCTCATGCTCAGCCACCATCTGTCAGTGAAGGCCTCACAGGTTGCTGTGATGCTGAACAGGTTTCAGCGGAGCTTCCAGACTAGGACAGACTAGGGAGAAAGGCCTGGCAATCTACTTCCAAAAATCAGCCAATGAAAACCCTGTGGATCACAACAGTCCAGTCTGCAACCAGTCATGGGCAGTGTTTGATTCTGTTGCACACGGGGTCGCCACGCGTCAGGTGCCAGCTCCATGGCAGCTGACAGCAATCCTCCCTGAGAGGCAGCAAAAAGGGCAATTGGACAGGCATTTGCCGCAACATGAAGTCCCAGTGGGTAACCAGAAGTCTTGGTCACCAGCACCCTGCTAGTTAGCTCCGCGGTCACCATGTCCACTCAGGACCTTGTGCTTGCCCCCAGAGTTCGTCTGTGCGCTGGACGCCTCTGACGAATTCCTGAAGGAGCGGGTGATGAACCTTCCTGAGAGCCTGGTGGCGGGGACCCACTACACCCAGGATCGATTCCTCCGAGCTCTGAGCAACTACCGGGACATCAACACTGATGAGGAGACCGTCTTCAACTACTTCGATGAACTTGAAATCCACCCGATACATATTGGTATGAAATGAACCCGAGGAGAACGTGAATGCCGAGTGTCAGGGACCCCAGCCCACCCCAATGCTGTCTAACTGGGGGGCCGGGGTGCATGGCCATGTGCCCCGGGCAGAACAAACAGGGCATGACTCCTGGAAGTCACTTGACTTGAGGATTCAATGGTGGAGGTGCTATTATTGTATGAAAACGTATGGCCATATTACGACGTCAAATGCCAAATCGGTTTTAAAAATAAGAATCGGGCACCTCAAAGAAACGTGTTTGCTGCGGGCTGCTCTGGGCTTGGGTCTTGGGGACAATGGTGTCTCTGGTTAAACTTGCCAGGCACATCCCAGAGCCTCTCCTGGCTTCTGACCAGCCAGCTCACCCCTGCAGCTCCCTGGAAAAGCAGGTCTGCACAGGTTCTCCTTCTTTGCTCCAGCATAGCTCAGAGCTTAGCACGAGGGCAGGGCTCAGCACACACCATCCCTCATCAGCCTCGTCGGTCCTTACTGCCCCGGCTCCGAATCTAAGGTTTCATAGTGGTGTCTACTCCCCTACTTGGCAAAATCCCGGACTTCTTTTCTGGTTGTCTGCATCTTGACGCTGCTTCCTCCTCCAGGTTTAGAGGTTCATTGGCCAGGCCGACACCCTGGGCTGCACGAGGCCTCCCCCCACCCCTACAGCCACCCAGACAGGGAGTATCTGAGGCCTCCCTCCCTTCCTTCCTCCCTTCTTCTCTCTTTTCTTTCCTTCTTCCCTTTCTCCCTCCCTCGTGCTTGGCTGGTAACAGAAAGGTTGGAGGTTCACATCCATCCAGAGATACGTCGGAAGAAAGGCCTGGCGATCTGCTTCCGAAAGGTCACAGCCTTGAAAACCCTGAGGAGCACAGTTCTGCTCTGTCACATGGGGCCACCAGGAGTTGGGATCAACTGGACGGCAAGTGTACTGGCGGGGGCATTGCAGCTGTACTCCCCCCGTTAGGGAGGCAAGGAGGCGGACATTCAGTGTCTGAGGTCAGGTTCTGGGCTCCCTCCACCTCTCTCCCGATGTTAGCACCTGGCTACGCCTCCAGTTCAGGTCAAAGTCAAACCGTCCAAACATGGGGGCGCAGCAATGGAATAGGGGGCCTGGAGGGGTCAGTGCCTCAGAGACTGGCACGTCCCCAGGTGTGCCCACTGCACCGTTCCCGCAGGCGCCTTCTAAGCACACACGAGACAGTGGTGGCCGACTCACCACGCTGGTCACTCAGTGGACGCTCACTGTTCATGGACGATTTTTTTTTTTCTCTCTTTGGTCTTGATAGTAACGTCAGTCAGATATTCCAGAGTTTGCACTTTTTCCTAATCGAGTAGGCTAATTGAAATGGTTAATTTTTTTGTGAATGGAAAGCGTATCCCAGAATCGTTGACTCAGAAACAGAAAGCAGAAGGAAGCTTCATGTCACCTTGTCCAGTCTCCCACAAGTGCAGGAATTCTTCCTCTGGAAACTCTGACAGAAGTGCCCACTTCTACGCTTGAACACTTCCAGGGACGGGGAACTCATTACTTTGGAGGTGGTCCATTCCCCCTCGATCAATAGTCACTGTCCTCTCTTCCTCATAGACCCGAGCCCAGATCTCCCTCCCGTAAGTCCCCGACATCGGCCTGAGGCCTGCCAGTGAGAAAAGAAAGTCCGAAGTGTCCTGGCAGCTAGAAAAGGGGCCCTCCGGGTGGTCAGTTACCGAATGTCCAGTCTGTGGCCGTAAACCGGGAGAATCTGCACAATTGCAGGCGGGCCCAGAGTGCGAGCAGGTACTGACGTCCTCTCTCCTGCTGTCCAAAGACGTAGGAAAACTCGAAGATGCTCAGAACAGACTTGCCATCAAGCAGCTGATCAAAGAGATCGGGGAGCCACGGAATTACGGCTTAACCGACGAAGAAAAGGCGGAGGAGGAGCGGAGGGCGGCGGAGGGGCGGCTGGCCAGGGAGGCCGCCGAGGAAGCGGAGCGGGAGCACAACGAGGCCGTGGAGATGGCGGAGAAGATCGCACGCTGGGAGGAGTGGGTGAGTGTGCCTGAGTGTGTGTGAGTGTGCATGCGACTACGTGTGGACGGTACATGTGTGTGTTTGAGGGTCTGTGCATGAGTGTGCGTGTGTTTGAGTCCATGTGTAAGTATGTGAGTGCATTGTGAGTGTGTCTACATGAGTGTGTGCATGAGTGTGTGTAAGTATGTGAGTGCATGTGTGGATGTGTGTGTCTGTGCGTAAGTGTGTGCATGAGTGCCTGTGAGGGAATGTGCAAGTGTGTGTGAGTCCATGTGTAAGTCTGAGTCCACGTGTGAGTGTGTGGGAATGTCTGTGCGTGAGTGTATCTGGCTGTGTGTGGGTGAGTGCGTGTGAGTGTGTGAGTGTGGGTGAGTACATGTGTCTGATGATCTCTGAGTGTGTGTCAGTGCATGTGTGTGTCTATGTGCGAGTGAGTGTGTGTGAGTGTGCAAGTGTGTGGGCGCATGTGTGAGTATGTGTTGTCTGTGCCTGAGTGTGTGTGTGGCTATGTGCAGGTGAGTCCATGTGAGTGTGTGAGTGTCGGTGAGTCCATGTGAGTGTGGGTGAGTACGTTTGTGGGTGAGTGCTGTGAGTGAGTGTGTGTGTGTGTGTGTGTGTCGGGTGGTGATGAGAGCGTATTAGTCCAGTGCCACTTCCCATTCTGCTATAGAGAAACACTGTGGAAATACCGCCAAACAAACGCGTGTTTTTCTGTAACATGTACATTTTAAGGAGATTTCTCTGGTCTCTTGCTTAGTATTAGTAATAAAGATAGTAACAGCTAGCAATTGTCGGTAATATCAGAGCACACATCCCTGTGATTGTGTGACATTTTACTACTGCCAGCCTTCTTTTTTTTAATTGTTGTGCTTTAAGTGAAAGTTTACAATTCAAGTTAGTCTCTTATTCAAAAATTTACACATACATTGTTGTGTGACCCTAATTGCTCTCCCTATACTGTGCCAGCACACTGCTCCTTTGCACCCCGAATTTCTCGTGTCCATCACCCAGCTCCTGACCCTCTCTGCCTTCTCATCTCACCTCCGGACAGGAGCTGCCCATTTAGTATCATGTATCTATTTGAGCTAAGAAGCACACTCTTCACGAGTATCACTTTATGCCCCACAGTCCAGGCCAATCTTTGTCTGAAGAGTTGGCCTTGGGAATTGTTTTAGTTCTGGGTTAACAGAGAGTCCAGGGGCCATGCTTTCCGGGGTTCCTCCAGTCTCAGTTAGACCATTAAATCTGGTCTTTTTCCTAGAATTTGACTTCTGCATCCCACCCTTCCCTTGCTCCATCAGGGACTCTCTGTTGAGGTCCCTGTCAGGGCGGTCATTGGTGGCAGCCAGGCACCATCCAGTTCTTCCGGTCTCAGGCTGTTGAAGTCTCTTGTCTCTGTGGCCCTTTCTGTCTCTTGGGCTAATACTTTCCTTGTGTCTTTGGTGTTCTTCATTCTCCTTTACTCCAGGTGGCTGGGACCAATTGATGCATCTTAGATGGCTGCTTGCTAGCTTTTAAGACCCTAGGTGCCACTCAACAAAGTGGGGTGCAGAACATATTCTTAATAACCTTCGTTATGCCAGTTGACCTAGATGTCCTCTGAAAGCATGGTCCCCAGACCCCCACCCCTGCTACTGTGTCCCTCAAGGTGTTTAATTGTATTCAGGGAACTTCTTAGCTTTGGTTTAGTCCAGTTGTGCTGACTTCCCCTGTAGTGTGTGCTGTCCTTCCCTTCACCTAAGATAATTCTTGTCTACCATCTAGTTAGTGAATACCCCTCCCCCTCCCTCCCCCCACCTCGTAACCATCAAAGAATGTTTTCTTCTTTGTTTAAACCTTTTCTTGAGTTCTTATAATGGTGGTCTTATACAATATTTGTCCTTCTATGACTGACTAAATTCCCTCAGCACAATGCCCTCCAGATTCCTCCATGTTATAAGATGTTTCACGGCTTCATCGTTGTTCTTTATCATTGCGTAGTATTCCATTGTGTGAATATACCATAATTTGTTTATCCATTCGTCCACTGATGGGCACCTAGGTTGTATCCATCTTTTTGCTATCATGAACAGTGCTGCAATGAACATTGGTGTGCATATATCTATTCTTATGACAGCTCTTATTTCTCTAGGATATATTCCAAGGAGCAGGGTTACTGGATCCTATGGTACTTCTACTTCTAGCTTTTTAAGGAAGGGCCAAATCGATTTCCAAAGTGGTTGTACCATTTTACATTCCCACCAACAATGTGTTGGTCTCTCCACAACCTCTCCAGCATTTATTATTTTGTGTTTTTTGGATTTATGCTAGCCTTGTTGGGGTGAGATGGTATCTCATTGTAGTTTTGATTTGCGTTTCTCTAATAGCTAATGATTGTGAGCATTTCTTCATGTGTCTGTTAGCTGCCTGAATATCTTCTTTGGAAAAGTGCCTGTTCATATCCTTTGCCCATTTTTTAATCGAATTATTTGTCTTTTTGTTGTTGAAGTTTTGCAGTATCTTGTAGGTTTTAGAGATTAGACGCTGATTGGATTTGTCATAGCCAATTTTTTTTTCCCAGTCTGTAGGTTATCTTTTGACTCTTATGGTGAAGTCTTTTGATGAGCTTAAGTGTTTGATTTTTAGGAGCTCCCAGCTATCTAGTCTCTCTTCTGGTCCTTGTGCGTTGTTACTTATGGTTCATATTGTGTTTATGCCATGTATTAGGGCTCCTAGCGTTGTCCCTATTTTTTCTTCCATGATCTTTATCATTTTCGATTTGATATTTAGGTCTTTGATCCATTTTGAGTTAGTTTTTGTGCAT